AATAGTTACTAATTTTGCAGAAATTATGACAATTACTTTACAAAAAAAGAGGAATCCTGCTTGGTATATTTGATTTCTATATGTCTGGAGGTCTGCTACAGCTCTATAAAATACCATTAAGTGAATAAGAAACTGAGCGGGAACAATAAATTTGTTCATTATGCAGGGATCTAACTGAATCACAAAGGTAGATATTTTATAGCACATAATGATGTTAAAATAATACATAAACAGAAATATTTTATGAAGTTTATAGCCAAAAATAATGGATATAATTGTTGACCTAATTGTTTTAGTTACATTCAATGTTAGTATAATGTAAAGAAACATAATAATTAAAAGGTACTTTAGACAGATGCAGTATATTTAAATATATTTTTCTCTTCAATACTCTTCATTTGTTGGTATTAAATTAAATCACATAGAGATTGCTTTTGTAGAAATTATGATTGTAGAAATTATGATTCATCATGGAAAATATTTACAATAATTGATCCTCTGAGCAGAGTGGCTTTTTTAACTTACTGATGAATGGCTGTATTTAAACAATATTTATTAGCTAGATCTATATAATTACTTGTGGTACTATTCTGTTATCAGGACAAGATCCAGAAATATATATACAGTACACTCCCGATTATCCGCAGAATTGGGTGGCGCGACCGCCGCGGATAGCAAAAATTGCGGATAAACCGAAAAAAGCTAAAAACGGGTATAGCAAAAGAGAAAACAGTTATTCCAACTTTGAAAAATGTATATGTACAATAAAACGTAAGATAAACAGCAGGAAATGTTTAACTAACGTTTAATATATTTTAGTATATCACTAAAAACTAACCTAAAATGCATTTTGTTAATGAAAACAGAGAAGTGCTTTGTACTTACGAGAGGCATCAAGGATACACAGAAAAATTAAAACATATGTACTGTTTTAATACTGTAACGTATTATGTAATTACAAAAGCATAACCGTGAAATCAGTAAGATTACGTAAGATGTATCAGTAAGATTAAGACGAGAGAGGGCCGTGGAGCAGGCACTGCAAGGGTGAGTAAGAAATCACTTACTCATCAGAGGGGAAGGTTCCGAGAAGGCCTGGGATATTTTTGCTATATATAAGCACGATGTTTAGCAAATTTAACATTTCGCTCAGTTTTGTGAACATTTTTATTTTCTTTGCTTTACGCTTGTAAAAAAAAAAAACTTTGTGCGGCAGGCGCGGATAATCCGCTCCGCGCATAATCCGCCCGTGGATAATCGGGAGTCTACTGTATATATATATGCGTGTGTAAGCATGAATGTATGTGTATGTGTATACACATATATGTACTGTTAAGGTTTACTGTTTCATAACTTTCCATTCCTTAGAATACATTTAGATCATTCCAGAGGATGAGAAAATAAAATATTTTAAATAAGTTAATGTACACTAAGCGACAGAAAATTTCATGTCTAGATAAAAGCAGTCACACTGCTCAAAGGGTTGATATTTTAAATAAAATATGCAACTAAAATCACATACAACCTAGCATCACTACCTAATTTTAGTAATAAGAACTAAAACAAGAACCTTTGCCTATCATGATATACAAGATGTACACAATTCAGCATCTAATTTGTTTAAGGTTTCAGAAAAGCAACATCACTGCCATGAGAACAAAATGCAATATTTTTACTTCTCAGACTAAGTCAGAAGTTCAGTGGTTAAAATGGTAACTTTTAGTATCCATTTACTACTGTTTCTGTTTTAAATAAAAATACATAGATTTTATGTATAAATAAAGACACAGACTTCATTTTTGCAGTTATAAAGAATGCCTTTTGAAGATGACATAGCCAGAGCAATTACTTGTTTAAATTATATTTAAAATTAGTTTAACAAAAATTATTAACTTTAGATTGGATACTGAACAGATTGGAATGGATTATTTACACACAGCAAAGCTAACAAAGAACTATCCACCAACTAATTTTGATTGATTAATAGCCGACTGATTTTGATAAAACTTATTTATTTGACTGCAATAACATGAACATAATGTTATAAGTATCTCACTCAGGCTAATATCAGGTCATTCAAATATTCAAAAGCATGCAAGGGTTATCTGTCTAACAGGAAGACTGACTTCATGGTGGCTTTTTTAAGGGAAATTAGCTCATGCTATACATGGGGAAACCATGAAAACTCTCATGCAACCAGTCCTTTCACTAGGATCTGAACCCGGGTTGAATTACCAGCATTCAGCGATTATACCACTCGACTGCTGATTAAATAGCATTAAATAATCATAATAAACATTAATACACTTAACATCTGCATACACTATTAATGCAGGTTAAGCAGTTCATTTTTTGTAAGACTCACAGACTTTATTTATCTAAGGAAAAAAAACAACAGCAGACCTGTAGAAATTTGCTTTATAGAATAATTTTAATTTTAACATAAATGAAGCCAGACCCATGTTTACAATGCGTTTGTCATTAAGGGACTAAATAATGATTTTACTTAAGTCAGCAATGTAATAAGATTTAAATGCATATTAACATTCATCATCATTTTATCAGTTGTTAACTAAGTTAAATGTAGTTACTTTTATTTAAAACTAACTGACTGATTTTGATAAATCTTATTTATTTGACTGCAATAACATGAATATGACATGCGATAACATGAACATAACATGACATTCTAATGCCATATTAGAATAAATTCAGATTGTTTCTCCACTTACAGTTAGATTAGATTGAAGGGTGCCCCTTGCATTATTGCAAACTTGTTATTGGTAAATTGGTGTGTGTTGGTTAAGAAGTACATTGCTTGCTTTGTGGTTTAGCCAGTAGAATGGCTGAATGTTGTAAGATTAATTTGAAGTTTCTGTATGATTTAGAATGAAAAAAAGGGAAAAGTGCATGAACTGACTGGTGTGTAAATGAAGGTTTACTTAGTAGCCATTATAATGTCCTGTTTGTAGGAAGGAGTTCCGTTTGGTTGAACGTCGAAGGATACCGACACTACGAAGGTTATTTTCGATTCTTATTTTTGTGAAGTTGTGTGGCAACGCTGATATACGGATTCTAGTTCAGATAATTTTAGGAAGTTTTTGGATTCTATTAAGGAATTTTGTGTGCCACAGACTGAAGGACTCGTAAATTTCTAAATGAGGTAAGTGGATATTTGCTTTGTGTAGTACTTAGATGCATACGATGAATTTTATGTTGTTTTATTGTTTGATTTAAAATGTAGTTTATTCAGATTATGTATTTTTGTTTGGCTCTTCTGCAGAACTGGATGCTCCTTTGACTTTTTAAGTGAAAATTGATCGATGGGTACATGGACAAAGTGAAGGGAGAGCATAATGCCAAGTTTGTGCAATTATCTGATTTTTTTTAAAGCGAAAATAAGTCGAAGTGTACATGGATACCGAGTTTGTGCAATTCTTTTACATCTTATTACGTCTTTGTGTAGTGGCAATTTTTAGCACAAAAATAACAAGTCAAAGAATTGCACAAAGTCGGTATCCATGTACTGACAAAAATTGCCAATTTTTGCAAACAGGAACTCATAAATATATTTTTACCCAACTTACTTCTTTTTACTCGTACTGTTTCACTTAAACACCTTATTCTCCCTAATTATAGAACTTAGGTAAAATCCTAGTATACGGTGCAGCCTTGGCGCGATTTTTGAAAATTATCGCCAACACCAAAAATGACCCAAAGAACGTCTATGTATATACTATATATTATATACTATTACTATATACATAGTATATAATATGTATAACTATATATATTCTTTGAATGACCCATAACTATATATAGTCTTTGAATGACCCCGTTTACTACTCATCGTATATGTCCCGTTTTTACTGCTCACCATAAAAGTCGCCAAAAGTAGCCAAATCCCGTGTGCACCGGATACTAGGATTAAACCTAGAACTTATCTACCTGATATCAAAACTGACATTTACTACATTATTATAGAACTTATCTACCTGATATCAAAACTGACAATTTATAGCTGCCTAACTTTAAATACAGTGCTGAATGGAGTTTATTTAGCAAAACGCACGATAATAGCTTTAAGTGCACATTTACTATGTGTACCCAAAACTTGAATCAAACTAATTCCTTTATCTAGATCTCATTCCCAGATAAGGCCATCAAGGAACTGTTGAATTTAAGCGAAAGCCCAGGCAGACATCATGACTTTTATTAGCGAAACCATTTTACAGTAAAAAAATTATCAACCTGCAGTGCCCAACATCCAGAATCAGATATATTTATCAGAAAAATTATCCTATAAATATCATTCGAGTATTAAAAAAATGACCACATCAACTATATCTGAGGATTACAAATAAAAAAGGCCATTTCTAACATGCTTTTTCCTATAATCGACATCCTATGATCCCAGATATTTATCTATGATTTAAGACTTCTGGAACACTCCATATAATATGTGATAATTCAAAGTATTTTTATGTAGCTAAGAAACTGATAATAAAACACAAAAATAAGTAGGAAAATATCCAGAAAAAGAAGTTTAACTTATCAGAAAAAAAAACAAGACTCTGAAAAATTCTTTAACCCTCTGAGCAGCGCAGGATTTTAGATACGTCATGAAGACTGGTATTTAAACAGCATTTATTAATTGAGTTTGTATAATTACTTATTTTAATCTGTATTTTCCTAAACTTACATTCATTAAGATGATATTTACATTATTAAAGAAAGTAAGAAAGCAAAATAGCTTAAATTATAAGCTAATATATACCAAGTAGCAAAACTTCTGATGACAGATAAAGCCGGTCATAATGCTCAGAGGATCAACCCAATTTAAATAAAATTTTAGAAAGCAGCTAATATTATATACAACAAAGCTTGACTAATTTTATATAAAAAAATTTTCAATCTTGTTCATCATTATGATATAACATGAAAAAATACTTGATAGAGAAAGAGTAGTTAAAAATATATTGACTTCATCAAAGAATTACCTTGCCAGGACGATTCAAAGGAGATTCATCTTGTGTGTCAGGAACAGTCTTATTCTTATTTTTGGTATTTTTACAAGGTGAAGCTGCTCGGTTTCCTGATGGACTTCTCATTTGATTTATCCTGCCAAGAAAATCATCCTTGAAAGATCTAGCACGACGGGCCAGCCGTCCACCTCGAGTTTCATTAGGATCTATGAAATATACATAATAAATAAGCACAGTTTGAATGGGTTTTCTGAAATTAGGTGCAGCACTAAGGAAAAAAAAAAAGAAAAATTTTGCTAATTTACATTTCACATTAATTATATGATTAAATTAAACATTATGTGTTATACTTCTGTTGTACTTACTTAAATTAGATGACAAAATTTCGCCAAAATGCATTTTAATAAGAGTAAAATAGGTAAGAGATGTTTCAGAAAGACAAATATTTAAAATGCTTTTAGGAAGATTCCCAACATTTGTTCTTGTTTATAAAAATATATAAGCATGGCCAAATGTTTTACATAAAATGACATACATAAATTTATCAGCCAAAATAATACTTCAGCACTTAATGAAATAGTAAATAAGCAACACAGTTACATTATTGTATAAGATTTCAATTTCAGTTAACGAAAAATTTTTATAACCACAAAATTAATTAACCTTTTACCTTCCGATAGTAAATTTAAAATCAAACATGTTATATTATTCAGACAAAAACAATAATTAAAATCAAATTTCATCTTTGTTTTGATATGTTTACCAACTTTTGTTCATTAGTCTAATTCCCCCCAATCAATATCATGCTTGTAAATTACAACCTGAGTTTATAAATTATTATTTACCTGATTTGCTAGTTTTTGACATAACTGAATCACCTTTTATTAAAATTCAGATTCATATAACAAGACATCTGTCTACTTTGTCTGTCTACATTTTCGTCAACCAGCAGCAGAATACATTTTGACAGTCAAAGTCGCAGTTGCAAACGGTAAGAAAAGGCAAACTGAAAGGTTAAAAATTCTCAACATAATTACGCCCGCCCCCTATAGTCTCATATACCCTTCTTATATGTGAAGTATATATATATATGTGTATGTATATATATATATGTGTGTGTGCGTAAAATATATGAAAGCAAACTACTAACTTTAATTTTGCAATAGTCCTTTATTTCTCATTTTAATTTGGATATTTCCACTTTCCATCCATAACGATGGTAGGTCTGAACTTATTCCGAATATAAATTCAAAATAAAAAAAAAAAAAAAAAATTAAACCCTTCTTTAAAACTAATCTTCCATACTGGACTACTAAGCCCTCTTCCACTGCCCTTGCTTCGTGCTAGGATGCCTCTTTCTCATTTTAATTTGGATATTTTGCTCACCTCTTTCTGTATCATCCATTGTATATCTGAAGATGTAAATTTCAAAGAATGTTGTACTGGATGCATATTGCGTTAATGATGATGGGTGTATAACAATATGAGTCCCAAGAATTAGCTTTCCAGTAATACATTAAGTGATGTCATCATGCTATCTAATCAATAAACCACTTTTAATTCTATTCCAAGTTCCTCTCTAAGCCGCGATTAGCACGCAGTAATTACGTGCTGTGTTCCGGCTGTCTTGATTTAGATGCTAATAACATATCATATAGAATACAGGAAAAATATTAAATAAATGCAGAATAAATAGTTGAAAAACAATATTCTTGGTTAAATATAGATTATGCACATATGTACATAGTATCAGGAAAGCTTGATTGCAGGAAAAATAAATCTGAATAGCAGTGTGCACAGATCACATGGGACGTCACCCTCCCAAGTGCTGGTTCTGATGAATCCTGCTGAAGCGCTGCTGATCCTGCTTTGTTTTGGACTTAAGAGTTCCAATAGTCACTAGATGAAATAGATAGCAATTACGTCGGAAAGTTCCGATTGCTATTCAGGATAAAAGCAGCAAAAGGACGGAGATGTCTGTCTTCGTCTAATATTTCATAATGAAATGGATCAAATAAATTCAGATGTTCACAGTTTTTAGCTTTCCTGAAGAACTTGTCATTTGTCTTGCGTAAGAAAGTATCCAGTGGCTCGGTTTTTAAGTCTCTGTGGAGTACTTCGTTCCGCGCAAAGTAATGAGCACTAGTTATCAGTCTTATAAAACGATTCTGCACAACCTGAAGCTTGTTTGACACAGTAGCCCAGGCTGGTGATGCGTACGTCATGATAGAACGAATAGTTGAAAGATAGATTAATCTCATTTTGGTGAGATCAAGTTTTGAAAAGCGTCCTAATATAGAATACAAGTATTTCATTACATAGATGGCTTTATTTCTCACATTATTAATGTGGTTAGGCCATGTCATTTTACTATTCAGGGTAACTCCTAAGTACTTAGCATGTTTGACAACATGTATTAAACAATAGGAGTTTCCTCTTGAGGTTCTTTTTATTTTTATTTTTCCTGATGATAAGTAGTTGAGACTTGGATGCATTAATTTGTACTTTCCACTTTTTGCACCAGTCTTCTATGAGAGGGATGTGCTCTTGGAGCATTTTAGCAGCATGATTCACATTTGCAAATTTCACCGCCAAGGCAGTGTCGTCTGCGTAACACGCTAAAATTGAGCTATTGTTGTAGAATACAGAAGGAAAGTCCGCAGGATAGAAGAGATAGAAAATTGGTCCTAATACACTCCCTTGAGGAATTCCACTGGGAATTGGGCGTTCTGAAGAGAAGGCACCGTGAGCAGAAACTACGAATTTTCTGCTGGTGATAAAAGAGAAAATAATTAGCAGGAGCTCACGTTCAAAGTTGAAATCAATAAGTTTCGCTATGAGAGCCTCATGCCAGACGCGGTCGAAAGCTTTCGCCACATCCAGCATGAGAATAGTAACATTTTGATTACAGTGACGAGCTGAGCCTATAAACTCAGTCAATCTTACTAGTTGTTTGGAAGTTGAAAGGTGAGCTCTGAACCCAAATTGTTCAGGGGGCACTAGGATGAGATAAGATTTCATTTTTTCAAGTAGAATTCTTTTAAAGACTTTGCTTAGGCTCGGGAGGAGACTTATTGGGCGAAATCCGTCTGGTTGAAGTTGATTTTTTCCCGGTTTGGGTATCATGATGATCTTCGCAACTTTCCAGGGTTTGGGGTAGTAAGAGCTTGAAATGCAAGCATTGAAAATGCTAGTAATTTTGGTGATGATGTTACTCGAGAGACGTTTTAAGGTATTGTTAGTGTCGATTCCCGGTGCTTTCTTTGGATGTAATTTTCTTATGATATCAGAAACTTCAGCAGGAGTAGTTAATTTACAAATAATTTTGGCTGTTGGTGCGTTCAGCCAGTCTCGAACTTTGATTAGTGTATCCTTTTCAAACTCAGGAGTCACTGGGCAGTAATTAGGCATAAATTGAGTTTGAAGGTGGGAGGCAAACATATCAGCTCTTTCCTGATTAGATGAGGCTACAGAGTTATTACAATGAAGAGGATAGTTCGTGGAGAAGGGTGTCTTCAAATTTTTAATTAAAGTCCAGAAGAAACCATCTTTTACGTTTAAACTGAGCATCTTTTCTGTCCATAATTCCTCTTTGTAAAGTTTGATGGCCTTGCTAATTCTTTTATTAATCCTGTTGTATTCCCGTTTGGTAGGGATGATGGTATTCGCACCAGCGGTGCGATTAGTCGCTTAAGCTATTCGCACCAACATTAACCCCGCATACGCATTGAGTTGTTTGATCCGTCATTTGAACCCAATCGTAAAGAACGGATTCTACGTGCGCGAACTGCCTAAGTGTTGTAGTGAATTTTTTTTAAAGGCGCCTTACTACCTTGGCGTAGTTTATCATTGTTTAAGCGTTGACGACTTTCTAACGTTTAAAAATGAAAATGGGTAACTTTCTTATAAAAAGAAGGAACACATTTCCTTTTATTAAAGTATATATAAAAAAGGGCAGATTTTTATGTTCGCAATGTTTATCCTTTTCCTGAACGGTTGGAATAGTTTAAATGACTGATTTTGGGGGGTGGACAAAAATCTTGTTTTATATTTTTGTACTTAGAGTACATTTAGCTTTAAAGATGTGTTTTTCGCAATCAAGACTTTAATTCATTCCTCTTTGAAAACTTTCGTCCGAGAAAAGATAATAAAAATTAGACAGAGGATTTCTGTGTAGAAAATTTAGACATGAAATAAGTTAAAAGCGATTAAATCAACTATTAAATAAATAATTAATCATATAATACTGGTTATTAACAAATCTGTGTGCCTGCTTATTTTTTTATGGAAATACTTGGCATTTTCAGGACACAAAAAGTACTTGGAAGAACTTTGAAATATTAGTACAAACACATTAATAAATTAAATTGGAATAAATAATGGGATGTATAAAAATTTGCACACACAAATGATTTACCAGATTTTATTTCATAAATAACTTTGATTTTGAAATGTGGCATTTGAACCAATAAGCATGTGTGGATACTGAAAATGTAATGAATATATAAGAATTTTATAATTTTCAGTATGTTTTCTTATTGAATAATAAATTCTGACAGTCCAATGCTATAAAACTAGGGTCTAAGTTTTCATAAAAATTCCTCTGTTAAATAAAAGAATTTAAATAATTTCTGTAGCCTTTTTGTCGATACATTAAAGATTTAACTAATTACACGTCCTCGCTTGCAGTTAGAACCATCATTAAATCCATATTTTATCTAATCATTTCCTGAACATTATTATGTATATAGATTGACCTCGTCTTTGTATCTGATAATTATTACTTGCAATTTATTCTTTTCGTGGAAAACTATTAATAATCCTTTCTATTGCTTAGTTAGGGTTAACAACCTTCGCTCTGGCTACCGCCTGCCTTACGGAAATCGGCGTAAAAGGCTTGTTCTTGTGCTGATTGTGCGCATGCGCAAACGTATGTGGTGTGAAAAGCCTCTTAGCTATTTGCACCGTCGGTGCCATTAGCCACTGCGGTTTGGTAGACGGATACCAAGTCATGTGATATGATTTCCTAAGTCTGTTACGCTGTCTCGTCATGTCTCTGATGTTTTTAGGCAAGTGATATAAATTGTCACTAATGGGAATTTTATTGCTGGCTTCCTCGCAGGCTGTTTTAATATGCGAGGTGAGCGAATTAATGGCAGAGTCAATTACTCTAATTCTATTACAGCTATTCCTCTCATATATACAT